AAAGGTTCGGAAGCGAAGGTCGTAGTCCCTCACTTCTTTAATTTTCCTCACGACGCCTGACCCGCTAGAGTTAGTCGTCACCGAAGGCCCGACCTTCTCAGCTCTCTTCACCACTTGCTGGCTCGGGCTAGACCCCTAGTCAGTCTTCTTCTTCTTCTTCTTCTCGGTAGGATGGATAGTCTGCAAAGAAGCCACCTCTATCGAATCAGAGTGCAGAATGGTTGGAACTGACCCCATCTGCACCTCTTCATCTGGGACTTCAATGGGGGTAGAGTTGCTGCCGAGCTTGGTGGCCCTCTTCTTCCTACCTAAGAGAAATGCAGGCAGCATGTCTGCGTTGCCCTCACATAGTTAGGATCAACCAAAGAGAATTGATTGAGGAATAAAAAATGACGTACCTTCGGAAATGGAGGATAAAAGGGGAGAGAGATATTTGGAAGGGCTCGACGTTAACGGGTTGGACGCAGCCCCTTCTTGGGCCTCCTCCTCAGAAGCGACCTCCTCAAGTATTTCCTCTTGCACGACCTCCTTTGGTGCGACCCACTCGAGAATGTGCAAGCCGCAATCATACAAGTTGTCGTCGGTAAGGAGGACGAGGTAGTGCCGAGCTGCTCGGTAGAATTTAGGAATCCTCACCAAGTATTCGCAGGTGAGCTCGTCAGGTCAGGGGACAGGTTTGGGGAGAACTGCAAGCGAAAAAAAAAGTTAGAAGGTCGGCGAGACCTGAAGATACTTGGCGACTAAGGAAGAGGGGTGTTACCTAGAATGCTGAATTGCGAAGAACCCGCCAGTTCAGCTCGCCCTCACGACCCTTAGCCAACCAGTCGCCATAAACGTAGAACCAGTCCTCCTTCCAGTGTTTGATGGAAGATGGTCCTCTAACTAACTTTCTGACACCCTATCGAGCTGTAAGGTAGAACCGACCTGGTTTATTTGGGAGGTTCTTCACGGTGTAAAAATAGAGCAATTGGCTCGGGGTGAGGTAGTCTGCACCTAACGTTTCTATCCTGAGCCCTCACCAGAGCATCCAGCAGCCCAAAAGGAACCCCCAGCCATTAGGCGCGAGCTACGCAGGGGCTATGTTGACCATCTCTATAAATTCCTGCACGAAAGGGTGGAGGGGAAGTCTGACCCCGAACTCGAACATCTTCTCGTAAAAGGCGACGTGCCCTTCAAAAGGATTCTCTACTGTCTCATCTCTCCTAGGAAACCTCATCAATATT